TTCCCAAGTGACACAGCAAGAGCAGCAGGTGAAATTAATGAGGTATATCAGTGTCACTTCAATACTCTTTGTGATACTTCTGGGAATGTGCTACCTGCAAGCGCACATTTACTGTACTCTCTTCTTCTGGGAAGTGCTCTGCAGAAGGATCACAAGCTGAAGGGGAAAAAAAGAGATAAACAGAAGGTAGGAAGAAAGGATTAGAGGGCAGAGACAAATGAAAGGAGACGAGATTCAAAGCAGAAAGAGGACTGAGTAGTCTAGGGGTTACATATTGCAGTTTGGGACTGAATTTGATCCTTCACACCCTGGGCAACAAATACCATGAAGGCAGCCACAGGAGAGATGACACAGCTTGCATGGCACTTTAGTGACCCTCTGACCAATTAAAGGGATCTGCAGTCATGGACTCTATAGGGAGCCACAGCTGAGACTCTTTGGCTAGAGGGAGGATAACCATGATGAATACAGGTTGACAGAGAAAATGGGGAATGTGAGGCCCCTGAAGAAATAGGACAGACAGACAGACAGACAGACACCAGTTACAGGCAAAGAACACAAAGACATGGAGAAGGAGGAGAAACAGAACTGATTAGTTTAATTTGGTTGAGGAAGGAAGGAAGAAGTTGTATTAGAGTTGTTTTGGCAAACAATACAAAAGAAATGCAGAAACACCCTGTACCCTGAATGGTAGAATCCCTCCGCCCCATATGAAAAGGAGAGCAGAAGGGAATCCCCATGATAAACAGAAGTGAAATTAGCCACCCATTAATGGTACCAAAGGAGCTATTACAACTATTATACAACTGAGTGTCATTTATTAAAGTCTGAAATTATTTATTTACACACCAGACCTAGAACTCCTAGCGCCAACTGAGTAAACTCATCAGAATTTATATGTATGGGTTTGACTTTTTCCCTTAAAAAAAATCAACCACAATCATCACTAATGAAATTCAGGGTCTGAGTTAAACCAATAGTACAGAAATTGAAATTAAAAACTAAAATCCTGATGTGCACTTTATACAATTGTGTCCTCCTTTGGTTTGCTTTTCAGTCTTTATTTATTGTACAGTGGCTACATTAAGTATTGATCACAGATTTTTAGCCTCCATTCATATTATTTACTTTTGAAAATTAGAAGGAATAATGTCTTTAGTATTTACCACATCTGCCCTGCTTCCCCTACCCTTACTTATGTGTTTGTGGTTTTGGTTGGGGTTTTTTAAGTTTTCATCCCAAAAGAGCATTCTATACAAAAACAAATCAATTAAAGAGACAAAGCTTACATTATCAGAAGACCCTGGTTGTAGCAGAATTAATGCAGTTCCACTGCAAAGTGAAGGGAGACAGATTCTGGACCACGTAACCAGCCCCAGCACACAGAAATTTTACATAGTGAGGTGATGAAATACCCGGGCAAGGGCACTGGGTCCCTAACTACAGTCATCCACTGGCCATTCCTCAACCCTGCAAGAGTTGGAAGTAAGAGTACCTGGGGCTACTGCAGCCTCAAGCTGCTGCAGAGTTGCCCTACTGATGCTTAGTGGCCTGATGAAGACTCTGCACCCACACCCCTCCCTCCACACAGATCTTCCCTCAAAGTCTGGGGTATCCAGAAGCTGTGTACTAGGTGTAGGATTTGGCCCAAAGGCAACTGTCCAGCACTTTTGAGCAACTGGATAACAACAATCTGGTGTATGTATGCAGTGCTGGATAACAGATCCGACAATGCACTCATGTTTGGCACATGACATACACAAATGAGAGATTTCATGCATCTACACGAACTCCTTTTGTTATCTGAGCCATGGAGTTCCCAATGCTAGTGACCAAGCAAAATGCCACATTTGCAAACATGTTTAGAAATTCCCTAACTCCACCTACCGGGCGTGCTGAATCCGAAAGCTCTATTTCCTGCTTCTGCCTACGTGGGTGAGTGGGAGACCTTAGCAACAGCCCTGTGTTTACCCTTCTCCTGGGCTCAGGAAGGAGGTATCAAATCTTTCTGTGGGAAGCTATTGCCATTGGCTCAAAAAAGTAGTCTTCTATCACCTTCTTCCCTCAAGAGGCACACTTAGTTACACTGGCCTACACAGTAAAAGTTCATGGGATGCTCTCAAAACAAAACATCTTCAAAACAGTGACCTTTCTTTGAGGTGACTAGGTCAGTATGTAAAAGTTTACAATGTGGAGTTTCTGTCCAGGAAAACAACAATAAATAGTAAATACAAAAATGTTACATCAAAAGAACATTAAGGTTGCAGCACTCAGCCTTTTATAGGCTTTCCCAGGGTTTTCATCAAGTATCTGAGAGCCTCACACACCTTGAATAATTTATCTTCACATCACTACTAACAGGCTGACAAATATTATCACCATTTTACAAATCCCAAACTGAGGAACAAAGAGTAAGTTCAAGACCACACAGGAAACCTGTGGCAGAGGCAGAAATAGAACCCACATCTGATAGATCCCAGACTACTACCTTTATCTTCCCTTTCTTGCAGGCTCTTATCTCATTTGTGACAAATTATACAACTAGTATGGTGAATAAGGCAAGATGTTCTGGACCCAGCCCAATTCACTACATAGCCTTGCCTCATTCACTGTCCAGTTTGTGCACAGAATTAGGAAGGTGTCCTGTGGAAAGATGTAATATGTGATCACACAATTAAGACTTCATCATAACGTGTAGGATGTGCAGGGTACCTTGTCATTTCCAGGCTTCAGAGAGCTTACCTTTGTAACTTTAAAAATTATTAATCTACTTTTTTATGGAATTTCCATTTTTTTTTAAAATAAAGAAAGAAGAATGAATGAAATGCCATCATATCATACTAGAAAGTCACAGAACTCTATAATGTACAATATGGAGAATCAATGAGACAAGAGCTCTTGTCTCATTTTATTTGTATCTTTCTATATTATATGTATAACGGCAGGAATCCTTCAGAGCTACGCCTCCTTTCATATACTCCTTCAAGGACTGTTTTCCAGAATGCTCTAACTATAAAACCTGGGATTCCATTCTATTTTGTTATATACACAAAAAAGCACACCAAAGGTACCTTTTCAACGAAAATTTTTACTAGGTTTAGATAATCGTGTGTACATTGTCAGAAGAAAGTTTGGGAGTTCCTTAGTTTTATGGTTAGAATAAACCAGCATACATGCACAAAATGAACATTTTAAATCTTTATAATTTGTCCAAATTAAATCCACCAAACCAATGGCTGGCACATCTATGACCTAGGGAATATGTCCCTGCCAAATTTCCATTATCTTGTATTTGGGCACTACAGCCATTTAAAAAAACAGTTTACAACAAAATTTTCTTGGCAAAAATAAATGCTTCTTTTCCTCACTCCTGCACAGAGCACACCTACCAAATCTCAGCCCAACAGGTAAAACTTTGAGAAAACAGTAAACTGAAAAAGAGCCTTTAAAATGGAAATGCTAGGTAACCTAAACTACAGACATTGCTTTGCCTGTTAATAGCTAACAATCACACACAGCAATTTGTAGAAATCATTTATCTACTGCTACTGACTAAGTTTGTGCCACTGGATGGCAGCAACAGAACCTCACCTGCTTCTGTCATCATCAAATTTGATTTCCATGCTGCTCCTTCACTATCAACTTGAAACAGATATAACTTAGATAAATTTTTCACTTCAAGGTCCTAGAGACACAGACAAGGTTTTCATCTCGAGGCCAAAAGACCAAAAACATCAAGACACTTGATCACGGCCTTGGATAGACCAAGAGACTACTTACACTTGATCTTAGCTCATAGAGCCAGTACATATTGTAAGCACAAGAATGTAAAGGCTTTAATGCACGAATACAAAACATTATCAACAGTGTTGGCTGAGTCATAAAACTTGTATAAGGGGATTATATGTTTAACCAGTTCAAAAGCCAAACAACTCAACTGAAGCGCAACATCTAAGAGGTTAGGTGACCAAGTTGACTATCAGATAACATGTATTTGTAAGGTTCTATGTTGCACTGGCTTCTCTTCCAAGCTCTTCTTCATTCCCATATACGCATTAGTTTTTCTGTCTTCTGTTTCCTAAATTGTAACATCTTTGGGGGTCCTTCTCCTCGAATCCTGTCATGCAACTGATGCTAATACCATTGAGACCAACGAGATCTGAAGGCTAGCTGGGTGCACATTCATTAATTGTACAAACCAAGCTTCTACCAGTAACACAATATCAACTGACTCACGGACAGACACAATGTGAACATTTCCCAAACTACAAATCTACACAACTGATTACATTAATAATCGTTAAACTCATTATCAAACATTTTGATGAAGTAAAATAAATATTTGGAGCTTATAAAAATATCTTGTATGAACATTTGAAATGAGAAGCAAGTGATATGCGGAAGCCACACTAAAACTGATATCAGGAAGGTGAAATACCATTTACAAACAAAGGTCTTGAACCTACCCTCAGAAAAATCCATTGCTGCCTGTGCACATTCAGTTACTGGCATGTAATTGAAGTTCTTTTAATTCTTATATAAGGTGAAACACAAACTGTGGGTTATTTTTAAAACTGCACAGTGAGTTTTTATATTCTGGTATATTGCACCATTGCTTTAAAGCTGATATTGGGAGGAAACTAACTATCTTGTATCTTTATAGTACACAGATGGTGTTTACAATGGGCTGGAGGAAGTTGGGAGCCAGGATGCAGCTCTATATCAAAAGAGAATTCTTAAAATCCTAGCAAGGGTGTATTATACTGTAATATTTTTCTACTAGTGCCTAAATACATACTTGGAGAACAAAGGAAAAAATGTTTAGTGTTTATTCTTTTCACCTCCAGGTGCAAGACCAGAGGATGAAATGCATTTTATTTTGTTCTTATTTCTTTAAGTCTAGACTTTCAAAAAGTTATTTTCATTTTCAGTAAACAGATATATAATTTAGAATACATTGAGTTAAATATTTTTAAATAAATGATCACTGTACCACAAACCTTTCAATGTCAAAAGGAAAGCAGAACTTCGGCACACTCTGCAGCACCTCCTGTAAATACAGATTAAAGAAATAATGTTAGGATTTTAAAATGACAGTTTATTTAAGTATTTCTGCTATACTGTTTGCTAGAAAAAACATTTTAAAGAAATATTTGGTTGCAAGAAATATAGCACACGTTCCTGGACTGAAATAATTGATTATTAAAAAGGAATTAAGTTTGTGCTTTGGCAGATTGCAAAGACAATGCCATTGAAGCCCCAGGAGGGAAAGGCCTGGCCTGAAGGGTATTAACACCCTTCACATCCCCGCTGGGATTCCCTTCAACAAGGCCATATGGATTTTACAAGAAGCACTGCACCATATGGGTAAGCCACGTCTGCTGCTACTTGTACCACAGACTAGCCACAGGGACTTCTGACAGATCCTGGCTCAAAAATACAAATGTTGTTTCAATTAAAATGCAGGCAGAGAAAAGGGAATGAAGTTGGCAGCAGAATGAATTACTGAGAGGTATAACAACTCTATATGTGTTTCATAGTCAAATGCTGAAAAAGATGAAAATCTTCTGTTGGTACAAAGTAGAAATTTATATGGTTATCTCTTCAGTAGAGCAGTAAGGCATTCACAAGCAAACCTCATTATTAATTAATTAAAAGTAAGACCATTCCTGCAGTGTTCAGACCATCATGTAATGGATACTGTGTTTCTTTTCTGCACATTTTTATTTAAGAAGCTGTTTAGTGGCAAATAAAATGTGTTAATTAAATATAAAAACGTCCTAATGTTTTTAAGAAGTACAAGACCTCTCTCTAGAAAAATCAGAGCTAACAGATCAGCTGTCAGCAAATCTGAATAAATGTATAACACTGATCTTACTGTATTTATTTTCTTGCTTCCAGCAAACCAGTTGGGAAAACAAGTCCTCCGTGAAATGTTTAAATGTAGGAGGAAGGTTGTTGATGATGAAATGTAGTTGGGTCAGTGACGTGCAACACTTGCTTACTATACCAAACCTGCAAGCACTTATGTACATAAAGGTACCCGTATCAGTCATCCCACTAAGTGAGTGTTTGCAGGATTGAGTGTGCAGGTTCCAAACTTCCAGTGCCAAGGGTGGGGATTTAGGTGCTTGATCCTGCAAGGTGCTGCAAACCCTCAAAACTCACTCAAGTGAAAGAATGCTGAGCACTTTGCAGGATGGGACAGCAACTACCATATACTGAAAGTCATGCAGTTAAATTCCTGTGCACTGCACTGAATGCGTACCTTACCTTAAGTATTTGCCTGGTTTTACACAGTGTAAAACACACATGGAAAAATATTAATATATTAACCAGCAAGGTCTGTATATTTCAAAACTCTAAACATTGCATGAGTGAAATGTTTACAGCTTTTTTTCAAGGATATAGTGTGTGTCCTGGTAGACCACTACATTAGTACATACAGTAAGAATGAGAAAGCCTATTATTCCTGAGTTCTGGAGCAGCTTTGGGACTCTCACTGTGTGTGATAACAGAGATAAAGAATGGGATGAAAGTAATATGTTGTGTTTTGGGGAAGGATACTAACTCTCTTGATTATGGAAAATCTCTATGTAGTAGCACATATAATATTTTCCAAACAGACTGCTGTTCAGTCTCAGGGCTTGTCTATACTTACCGCGCTGGTTCGGCGGCAGGCAATCGAACTTCTGGGTTCGATATATCGCGTCTTGTCTGGACGCGATAAATCGAACTCAGAAGTGCTCCCCGTCGACTCTGGTAATCCTGCTCGCCGCGAGGAGTACGCGGAGTCGACGGGGGAGCCTGCCTGCCGGGTGTGGACCGCGGTAAGTTCGAAGTAAGGTACGTCGACTTCAGCTACGTTATTCACGTAGCTGAAGTTGCGTACCTTACTTCGATTTGGGGGTTTAGTGTAGACCAAGCCTCAGTTTTGGCTGGCAGGGAAGGGCCAATGTGGAAATTGCAGGGAATAAAACATACACACACAAACACACAAAGTAGAAAACAAGCAATAAAACAAAACCAAAAAACACAAACTAAAGAAGAAACCGTCCAAACTTCTAACGTATTAATTTTCAAATAGATCATACTTTCAGGCTCACAAAATTTTAATTTTCTTCTTTCAAAGAAATAATTTCATTTTTAAATTTTGGGTCTTCAGGTAATAAAACTCAACACAGATACCCTGCCATCTTCAACCATTTTCACTTTTAATATACATCTTAGTTTAAAACATCATTTTTGTCTTACTATCAACAATATTAATTGCTGCTTGGTGACTATAGGACAGATTTAAAATAGGGAGGGAAATGTATTTCCAATATTCATCTAAGTTTCCCAATGGAGCTTTTTAAAAAAAAAATTACTGCACAAGGAAGGAAACAAAAGAAAGATATTAACAGAACATAAAGTACATTTTGCAACATTTTTGAGACTCAGATGAACTACAGTACTTTCCCGTTGCTCTGCCTCCCACCCCTCCCCCACCCCGACCGGCACACACATACATACACACACAACTTCTGCAAAACACAGCCTCAGCTCGCTTCCCAACTGGCAGGAGCATCCCTCAGGGGACAAGTCTTTAAACCTCCGCACTCTTTAAAATTCAGCCAGCCAGCAGGTCTATAGACTGGTGTATAAACAGTATAGACAAAAAAATCCTCTCTCAGCTTATGTCAGTGACAAAGCAGCTCAGCAGTTGACTGCTTCTCCCCTGACAGTGTAAGCTGGGTTTACACAGATCAATAGATGGAAGTCCTACCTAGCTTCCAGGGCTCAGTTTTCTCCCTTAATTATAGGTGCTATTCAGATTTTAAAAATGGAGGAAAATAAGATGCATCTAAGATGCTTTCTAGGTGTCTTCTAAACACTGTTGGGGTGTATTAATTGCAAATAATCATGTTATACATGTATTCATGCATATTAAGTATTAAAACATATTTAAAATTGACACTTATTGTACAGTGACCCTTTCTCCTGAATGAAACTTGAACTCAGTTTTCTAATCGATCTTCGTTTCCAGGGGCCTGTACCTAAGACATACCTGCTTGTTGGACAGAAAGATGTGTACTCTTTAGAAAAGGAGCACTACACTAATTTATATCCCCTTTTATTTTAAAGGTTTAACACAAATATTTATTCTTTTCTGATGAAAAAGTTACATGAATCTTCAAACACAAGAAATATCCTTGATTCTAGCTTCTAGTGGATTATTTTCATCTATGGAACCTGTAATGCTAGATTTGGGTGCTTTCAGAAGAGTATATACTGTTTAACTTGGGAAATAAAATTATTTTGCAATGTATTATCTAATGCTAAAAGCAATAACATTGTTGCCTTTAAAAATAGGAAACCTCATATATTTGCATAAATAAATTAAATTGGTTGTTGTTAAAACAACAGGCAACTACCTCACTCTTTAGAAAACTTCCTGTATATACATTAACAAAACCACTAGAGTAGTTATGCAAGCTTCAAAAATCCCTCAACTATGAAAAGGGTAGATTTATTTTCCTGAAATAGCTCACACTATGGGTGAAATTCCAGTCCTCTGTGCAAAGCCCAAGTAGAAGGGGAATGGAAGTCACTTTCTCATTCCAGAGGCAGGGCATGAAGCATCTCAGCATAGTCTATTTATTTATATAATGTTGTAGCAGATATTGCACCTCCCATGGGGGTTATAGTCCAGTAATTCTTGGCAGTTCACAATTTCACTGACCACACCTTACCATTCCTCCAGCTTTCCCACAAACATAGATCTCTATGCTTCTGTGGAGAAAGCCACGGCAGGCACCCGAAATATAAGAATGATTTTCTTTTTCTTGCTTAACTGTACATCTATCTATCTGGGTTATTATTATATGGCATCCATCACCATGATATATGCATCATCCAAAGCAAGTAGAGCTGAGGAATATAAGAATGATGTTTAATGCACAGGTGATGATGACCATCTGTTGTAGGAAATCTGCTGCTAACTCACGGCATTGCCTTTGAAAAATATTACTGGTCTGCTCTTCCGGTTAGATGACTGGCATCACATTCGTTGTGTGTCTGTCACGGAGGTCACGGAAGTCACAGATTCCGTGACTTTTTCCATGACCTCCATGACTTCTGCAGCAGCTGGTTCAGCAGCAGCAGTTTGGGTGTGGAAAGGCACTCAGGGCTGGGGCAGTGGGTTGGGGGTGGGACAGCGCTTACCTTGGAGGGCTCCCAGAAAGCGGCTGGTATGTCCCTGCACCTCCTAGGTGGAGGGACCAGGAGGCTCTGCGTGCTGCTCCTGCCTGCAGGCATTGCCCCTGAAGCTCTCATTGGCTGTGGTTCCCAGCCAATGGGAGCTGCAGACCCGGCGCTCATGGTGGTGGCAGCACCTGGAGCCCCTCGGCCCTCCCTCCCACTAGGAGCTGCAGGGACATGCCGGCCATTTCTGGGGAGCTGCTGCCCGCCTCCCCCCAGCACCCGTGGCGGCTCCGGACTGCCTCCCAGAGCACCTGCGGCCAGCTGGCCCAAGTTTTAGTTAGGGGTATATAGTACAAGTCATGGACAGGTCACGAGCTGTGAATTTTTGTTTACTGACCGTGACCTGTCCATGACTTTTACTAAAAATACCTGTGACTAAAATGTAGCCTTATTCATTACTAGCTAGGAAGGACAAGGCTGGAATTTTAAAAATTACAGTCATCATCAAAGAGAAGAGGATTTTCATTAAGTTACACAGATCAATACTCAGAAATGCAAAATCCTACTTTAATTAATCTTCATTTTGTGTAAAAACAATCATCAAGAGTAGATTAATCATATTTTCTCTTGGTCAGACACTAAAAGTACTAAAATGTTGTTCAATATCCCCTTTCCAAGCAGAACACCACAAATTGCTAAAAATATAGGGTGAAATCCTGGCCTTATTTAAGTCAATGGCAAGACTCCTATTGACTTCAACAGAGCCAGGATTTCACTCAATGTCTATACAATACATAAAGGTTTTGTAGGATACATTCTTTGCTCACCCCAATCTTATCCTAAAAAGCAGATTTATGACCCTCT